GCATGGCCCCAAGTGGGCACTCACCTGCGGAAGTCGAGGAGAGGCCGCGTGGTGGCCGGGATGCCATCAGCTGGCCAGCTGAGGAAGTGGAACTGCGTCAGGGTGCGAGTCTCCTGCGACTGCACGTTCTTCAGGTAGAAGCTGCGCACCAGGAAATCCTCGCACCAGATGTGCTCCGACACCAGGTTCACCTGCCAGAGAGAGGCAGCCCAGAGGTGTCAGCACCAGGCAGGGGGGCTGCACTCAGAGGGATGGGAGTTGGAGGATGCTCCTCGCCCCGGGCTACCGGCCACACTCGCCTCGTAGATGTGGTAGAGAGAGGAGCCTTCATCCGGCCAGTAGCGGTCACACTGCTTGACGCTGTCCTCGGCCAGCGGGCTCAGCATGACAATGACAGTGCAGCCGTGCTCCCACACCATCTGCGGGCAAGGCACGATGGGTGTCACCACTGGGTGACAGCCCAGGCAGGAGGGTCGCCGAGACACTGTGACCCATCTGGTGGGCAGCATCCAGAGGGACCCTGACAGGCTGGCACAGTCGGGTGACACTCACCTGCCAGAAGTCAGCGATGGTGTGAGACAGTGGTCCCTGTGTGGCGATGTACGCTGGCATCCGCGGGTCATGCTCAATCTGGAGCAGGAAAGGGGGTGTCAGACTGTGCATGCTCCAGCCAGGGGTTGGGGACACTGGGAGGAGTGGGAGGATACTGCAGGGGTGGTGGGAGGGAGCTTTGGGTGCTGCAGCCAGGAGGGAAATGGACTTTAACCACATCTGAGTGATGGGGAAGGCACATTGCTCACATCTGTAGCCCACAGGGACAGGAGCTTGGTCCAACTCCATCCCAGGGCGGAAGCCTCGCCTGGGCTGAGCACATCAGGGAGTGGGGTGGCAGGGCAAGAGCCCCAGTGATCACTCACAATTGGACTGGCGTTGATGAAGTCGCTGCGGGATGGGTTGCTCTCGGCTTTCAGCTTGATCCGCATGTGGTCGTCTGGGGAAACAGAGACCAAGGGAGGTGGTGAGCACCTGGAGGAGCTGGGGACAACGCCGTGCCTTGGTCCCAAGCATCTCTGTGCCCCGCACCACCCTCCTGCCATGGCCCTGTGAGCCAGGCCCCCAGGCAGGGCAGCTGAGATGCTCACAGGGCACGTAGTCAGGGTTGCGGTTCTTCTTCAGGTTGGCTTCACTCTGAGCGATGGAGCAGACACTGGGCTCAGCCTGGTAGGCGCAGAGAGCCTGCCA